GTTATCTTGAGAAGGTTGTGCTTTCTCCTTACCCTTCAACCGAATCACATCTTTCTTTAATCTTTGCACTTCTTCTTTGAGCTCTATGTTTTCTATAAGATTTAGCTCAATCGAAGATTGGCTTGCTTGAGGAGCACACTCATTAGTACAAGAAATATTTATTTGAGATGGTGTACTAGTGAGCGGATGTGTGAGAGGTTGAGAGAATTTTACCGATGTAATCACAACCTCATGAGCCACCTCAAGCATGATGCTTGATTCTACTACTTCCTCATGAGAGCACTTTAGATGAACATAATTTGCTTGTAGCTCATTATACTTGCTTGATAGTTCATCTAGCCTTGCCTTGAGCTCGAAGTTTTCCTTCTCTAGTTGTGAAACACTAGAAGAGGAATTAGTAACTAAAGCATGCTCGATTGATAATTTTCATACCTCTCATTTATTGCCTTTAGCTCTTGCAATTTGGAGATGAGAAACTTTTCTTGATTTTGAAGCGATTGCTCTTGCTTCTCAATCTCTTCTTCAAGCTCATCATTCTTTTCAACTATCTTCATGATGATGAACTTGTCTTTATGGTTGAGATGATCAAGGTTGTAGTTGTCTTCAATTTCAACATCACTCTTATCTTGATCATCTACTTGTGCTTTCTCCTTTTCTTGATCTTTCTTGTTATTCTTCTTCTTGCTTTTCTTGGCCATGAGACACAAGTGATGAGTATCATGAGATCTTGAGGTTGACTCATCACTTGGTCGCCATCGGGCTTGAGCATCGCCACAAACATGTTTGCTTGCTTAGTTCGCTTGCCTCGGCCATATACGGACACGTCCGGTGAGGCATACCGGACACGTCCCGGTACATGCTGAAGAAGCAAAAAGCAGTCATCTTGCCGCTTGCACTTCTTGCTCGGCTCGGCACTCTTGAGGTTTTGTGAGGCTTCTCATTTGTATGAAGACACAATGGATATTCTTTCCATTGACTCGATCTCAAGTGCATCATCACATTTGGATTTTTCATATAAATCAAAAGTCTAGTCCAAATGAGATGAGCACTCTCCGGAGGTGGTTGTCCATTGAATATTGCCTCATCTTGAACCTCTACACTTAATGTACTCAAAATAATATTAATAGCTTGAGCATTGAGTTGCACGCATATTTCTTCCTCTTTTGATAAATTTTTGTAGTTGCTCCAATCAACTATAGAAAGAGGTATGCTTGCATCTACAATATGCTCAACAAGAGGACTAATATCTCTAAAAGCATTGAGTACATATATTGACCAAGTTAGAAAGTTTGAACCATCATTTTGGAGAAGCACCGGCTCCAACTCGATAGGCGTCGACATCCTTTTCTCACGGCGGTGAAGCTTTAGGTGAGAACCTCTCTCGATACCAATTGAAAGGACCTAGGGATGCCGCCTAGAGGGGGGGGTGAATAGGCATTTCGAAAAAATAACACCTTTAAATGCGGAAACAATTAGAAAGGGAGTTTCCAAAATGGAAACTCCAAATTAAGAGTACTACCACCCCTCACAAGTTAGCCACAAAGTAAACAAGGTATAAAGAATATATCTACAAGCTACAACCCCGCAACACCAAGTTAGAACAGAGAATAAATATTTTCAAAGGTCTTGGTGCAGGAAATCCGGACGTAATGCGGTATGAATACCGGACGTGTCCCAGTATATACGATTTCGCAAATCGGCCCCGAACTTGCTCCTTTCGATTTCTATCTTGAGACCAAACTGCAGGCACCTAATGGAGATGACAATATACGAGAAACTGCAGAGCAGCTAGAGCAACACAAATATCAAATGAAATGCGAATTTAGACACGATATTTGTTTTATCAAGTTCGGACTCGTTCGAGTCCTACTCTCCGTTGAGGGGCTGCAGGGCGACCAGTGAAGGTCACCCTAGAGGGTACCACGAAGGTCACTCTAGCTGGAGTCTTTTCCAACTCCTTTTCCTCCTTCCACTAATTTGATTCCGAGGCGGCGGAATCGAATTCTAAACTTTCCGAAGCAACCACAATCTCTCGGTTGCTCTCCCGTGACGCCTAACCGTCTAGGACCAAGAGTCCAAGAGTAACAAATGCGAATCACGAGATTGACAATATGCACAAGTGCTCAAGTGGTGGCTTGCTCTCTTTTTCAAATTCTCTCTCAACCCACAAATTGATTTTGCAATTTGGATCACACACTCACTAAGAGAGGGTTTAGGAGAGTTGGCAAGGCTCAAAAACGTGTGTCTATCTCAGCGAGAATCAGTGACCTCCAAAGGTGGAGGCTTGGGGGTATATATAGCCCCTTGAAAAACTAGCCGCTTTTATAGCCGTTGCAATCTGGGACACGTCCGGTATGCATACCGGTTTCGCCCCGGTATGACTCGAGATCTGCGCCAACGGTAACTAAATTCTGATGATGTTGTGAGGCGTCGGAACTCCCGAAGTATGCCGGGACTTCCGACCATCGGAACTCTCGACTCAAGTCGGAACCCCGACCCTCAAAGCAATTTTGAAAAACATATGGCGAAGTTAAAGTTAGTGAGGTGTCGGAACTCCCGACGCATGTCGGAACTCCCGACCCTCACGGCTTTTGAAAACTAGCCGTTGGCCACGGTCATCCATACGGACACGTCCGGTGTGAATACGGACACGTCCCAGTATGACCAGACGATGAAACCTCTAAGTCTGTTGAAGTGCGAGACGCCGGAACTCCCGACCCATGCTTTGGGACTCCGACCGTCGGAACTCCCGACCCACGTCGGAACTCCCGCAAAGCAACCCGAGAACAACAATTTTACAATTCTTTGGACAAATACGGACACGTCCAAGATGAATCCGGACACGTCCGGTATTGCTGCATCAAAGAAGAAATCAATCGGCACATTTGTCGCTCAAATAATCAAACCTCACATGGGTTGGGTTGAGCACTTATGAAACATTATCTATCAACATGATGCATCCCTCTTAATAGTACGGCATACCTATTAAACTCAAGATCAAAGGAAAAATGAATTTATACCACTTGAGTTGATTTCTTTTGAATTGATGCCGTCCTTCCAATCTTCATCAAGTAAGGGTGCTAACAAGTTGATGTTGATCTTTTCATTTGAGCATAGCCATCTTGAGCATGTGACTTGATTCCATTCATCAAATTTGAATAACCCCAAACGTATCAAGTCACTTCCATCAAATACTTCATTATAGATTTGATTCTTCACATCAATATGACCATCTTAGCTTGATTAGTACCTCAACTAAATGCAAGTACTTTCTTCTTCACCCTAGCTAGGTTCTTCGGCTGCCAAGCCGTCGCTTGCCCTTCACCCTTGCTTAGTACCTCGAAGCCTTTCCTTGCTATCTTCACCATCTCAAGCCATCAAGTCACATCTTGTGTTGAATCATCCATTCATATGTATTGTTATCTTTTTCATTTTAATTTAGCAAGCTTCAAATATGAGACCATTCCATATGCAATCCCTCATGTCTCATTAACTAATAATCATGAGCTTGCTTTCACATAGTACATGGAAATCCCAAAAAAAATAAGCCTTCACATGAATTCCATTTGCATTGTTGTCTTGTGCTTGAACTAGATTGTTTATACAACAACACATCATTTTGGCTTTCATTAAGTACCTGTGAGATAACCTATTACCTGTTCACACTTAGCAAACGGGTTAGTCCTTTAATCACGTTGTCATTCAATCAACCAAAACCCACTAAAGGGCTAGATGCACTTTCAAAGGGCTCAAGCAATAGGTAACATGTGAAAGCAGAATACAGAATGGAGCACTACATTGTTGCTGCAACTTATATAGAAGCAAACAGCATGGTAAGTATCAATAAGTGAGAAGCCAAAATTTGGATCCAGATTGATAAGAAACCTTGAATTCTTCGAAATTGAGGGCTGCTATTTCAGTTGGGTCCCCAGCAATATGAAAACCATATGTGTTATCAGGGAAAGTGCCTGCAGAATATTCTTAAAAGTTAGTCGCAGTTGTACGAACTGGAAAAAATAAGAGAGGCCATAAAAAATAGCTATGAACAGGTATAAAAGAGGAAAGGACCCAAGCAATAGGTAACAGGTGCAAGCAAAAGACACCATGAAGCACTCTCAATTGTTTTTTGAGCTGTACAAACTGAAAAGACCATATGAAAGATAAATGTTAGCTAAATGTATGAGCACAACGAAAAGGCAATCAAAAGAAGCAGAGCCCAAGCAGCCATAGCAGAAACAATATATTTGAAATTGAAAAAAAGAAACAGCCAACCGAAAATAAGGTTGTCACTGAAACTTGATAGTTTAAAAATAATGGCATACTCTCAAGTTATAGCCATAAGCCCTTGTCCGTAGGATTGAATTGCAGTCTGAAATGAAACCCAAAAAAAATCGTAATAGGTATGTAGGCTATCTCACAGGCAAAATGAGACATCACATGAGGAGCTGTCCACAACAGCAAAATAATTTTACCACATGCAATCGTAAAGGTAATGTGGTTTTTGGTAATATGTGTGTCAGGAGGAGACTATGAAGCTTGTACGGTGACGTCAGTTTCATGGAACAGAAGGCTACGATTGAACCTAATATCAAGATTGAAGATAAAAGAAAATTAAATGATCATCTTATCTCTATTTTTATATAGGGGCTCTTGCATTCTTATCCTTGTTTTGTATTCAAATTGTGGTTTTACCCCTGTTTTTCTAACTTTGTGAATTTACCCCTGTTTTCAAAACGAAGCACCACTTTGCCCCTACTTCGTTATCATCCCTAACGGTGTTAACTTTTATACAAAAGGACAAATTTGCCCATGTGATTTTGCCCCTGGTTTCTAAAGCTATTTGTGATTTTACCCCTGATTTAAATAAGACATTATATTGTATTTTGACAAAAAAAATTATTAGATTTGGCCAAATAAATTTGGCACAATTTATAATTATTTTAAATCAGATTTAATATTGAAAAAATATTCAAAATTTTAGTAGCATCTTAGCAAAAATTTTATAGCACTACGGCGACAACAGGAATCCATCGACGTTCAGAGATCACCCCAACACCAATGCCACGAAGGGAGAATCCTTGTGAAATGATCTCAGCCAAGCATATCTCCTTCGTGCAACACAGCAACAGGGACTCCACCAAGAAGCAGTCAAGAAGCTTAAAACTGGAGAGAGCCTGGATGACGACGACGGCAGGTGCACGGACATCGTGCCGTACAGGTACCAGCAGCACCATAACGGGAAAGCTGCTAGCCCCACCGCTGCCCCGCACGCAGCCGAAGCCCTGCAGGCCGCGCACCGCTGCCGTCCTATGCGCCGCGCGCCGGCGCCTAGTGGCCTGCGCGCCGTCGCTGCCCACGCTCCACGCGCTGCCGCCGCTGGATGCACCGAGCGCCGACGGCACCTGCACCAAGCGCTGCGGGTGAGCCCAGCGGCCAGGGGCCCCAGCACCACGCGCTTGGGCCGGGCGCCGCCGCCGCCCTGCGCAGGCTGCGCCCCGCCCGTGACCGAGCACCATGGCCGGGATCCGCCTCTGCCCCGCACCTTGACCCAAGCATCGCGGCCGGACGCCGCTGCTGTCCTGCGCGCGCCACGCTCAAGAGCGGGTGCCGCAGCCCTACAAGCACTGCGCCCCGCGACCAGGCGCTGCCGCCGCCCTGCGCGTGCCGGGGCCCTGCGAGCGCCACGCCCCGCGGCCAGGCGCCGCCGCCGCCCCGTGCCTTGACCCGAGCGTTGCGGCCGGGCACCGCTGCTGCCCTGTGCGCGCCGTGGTCGTGGGCGAGTGCCGCGCCCCGCAGCCAGGCACCACCGTCCCCCGCACAACGCGCCCCGCGGCTGGGACCGGCCGACGCCCCGCGATGCTTGCTAAGCTGACACCGACCACTCCGGAGGAGAAGCGTGCACCCCCGCTCGATCTATCCCCGACCCATGCGGGACGAGCAGGAGGTTGAAGATAAGATGAGGGGCAACATGGTCTTTTTGCCTCTGGCGGCAGGGATTTTGATTTTTTTAATTCATTTATTCCATGTCTATCTAACATACATCCAAACCAGGGGCAAACGGATGGTTCGTTTTAAAATAACAGGGACAAAATCACAAAGTTGAAAAAACAAGGGCAAAATCACAATTGGACTGCTGGACAGGGGTAAGAACACAATTTTCCCTTTTATATAAGTTGGGAAAAGTTATGTACTGCTCATTTGTCTGCGTACTCACTCTAACAAACATGTGGCAGGCATCATAGTGCAGGGCTAGCAGGCATCACCGACTATTAGCAAGTACACTTATAAAGCCTGATGTGTCTACATGCAACGTAATTAGTCTGAAATAGCCAAATAGGCGAAGCACCAACCTCACAACCAAGCAAGCTATATAACAGCAGAGGCAACATCGTGCAAGCCTAAATCGGTATGGCCAGCATTTTTTTTTTTAAAAAAACGTTAGCATTACAATAAGAGCCCCCAAAACACATAAGACTCAATCTCCACAGAGTCGGTACATGAGGTACTTTGTAGGTACAGATCATGTATAAGTAGTACTGGTATTAGAAAGTTAGCGACACCATCAATAGCAATTAGATGCCCCTGGATGCCTTACCGAATTCGTTGTTCGTGGTTCAGTTGCCTGCATCGGGCAGGAGCTCCCCAGTCTATGCACTGTTGCCTGTTGGCATGGACCACCTCTTCTGAAGAACCATCCGCATCGACTGCAGCTGATCTCAGCTGCTCTTGCTATCTGCTGTGGTTAGCCATGCGTCGGTTGCTCTCCTTCAAATGAGAACTGTGATGTCTGCTGGACTCACACCTTGACCTATTGTTTGCGGGCGCAGCTACAAATGAATTACAGGGTACGATTTAGAAAAGATGAGACCACAAAATTGGATCCCAATCTACATTATCGTAATGGAGTAAGATGTGACTGCAGTAATGGCATATTATCGTGTTTTCTTCTATATGGTCTGCTTTGACCTTGTGCTTTCACATGACACCAAGTTTTAGAGAAGATATGGCCTAGTAAGTTGAAATTCATAATTAGTAACCGATATGTGAAGAAGTCAAAAATTGTTCATAAAAAATGGGCAGCTGCAGAATGCTTGGTTCATGTACATATCCCAAGGCAAACCTCCCAGAAAACATGTTCTTAATGAATGGAGAACTGCTATGCTTGTCATTTAGTTGCAGGCTATCTTTCATAAGGTTTCTTGTACATATCCTGAACTTACCTTGGAAAGTTTCTCACAAGCTTCAAGTGATAGATTTGTCATTGAGCGGTAATCCAAATCTTCAGGAAGATTCCTGTTTTCTTGGTTCACAATCTTAACAGACATAGGAACAAACAAGAAAGAGCTAGTTGCCTTTTGAATTTAATAAACAAAACAAATGAAATAATGCATGCTCATTACTGTTGGACATCCTGAATAATTATGTACCATTGTTCTAGCAGCTGAACTTCGCTCATAAATCTACTGCAGAAAAAATTGCATAACCATAAGCAATTACCTGACGTAATTGACTCTGTTGTCATGAGATGAAACCTTCATACTTGATATCAATCTCTACACATTCCTTCTCATTTCAAGATAAATTTCCTTTTCCACATGATCTAAGTGACAAATAATTACATCATTGCATTGACTGTGTTACCTGAAGGTCCCCAATGGCCTGGCTACCTATGTGCTGCCAATTTGAGAACTTGTCAAACAGTGTCACCTGTACCTGGTGGCTGGGAGAGAGGCGAGGAGAAGGGGATGACCTGATGCTGCCGCCTCCGCTGCGGAACCCCGGGTGGAGGGGTGAGGTACGGCCAAATCCGACCGCCGAGCTGAGCTTCCTACGCCGCCGCCGGAGAGGAAGAGGCCAGGCGCCTAGGGTTTCGTCGATGACAGGAGCAAACGCGGCGGCGTGAGGAGGCAGCACCGCGGCGCAGTGCCGGTGGCCAACGGCGAGGCCAGCTCGCCCCGTGCCGTCGCTGGGGACGGCCGGCGCGGGGGCCGGCGCGTGGCGCCTCTGCGACCCGCTGCACCGGCGCAGCACCCGGTGGGGGGCCGCCGTCGCCCCGCCCTTGTGCCGCGAGGAGGGAGGGGCATGGAGGAGGAGGAGGAGGGTGGCTGCCGCCGCGCCGAGGGCCGGCCACCGCCGAGATCGCCCGCGCCGTCGCCCCGGTCGCTTCGGGAGAGAGGGATCGAGCGAAGAGGAGAGAGAAGAGGGGAAGAGAGGATTCCTGAAGGAGAATTAGAAGCTGTAGTATATATTTGGTCCACCGGATTCATATGAGAAGCAGCGAAAGCTACCAAAACCAAGCGCGTGTTCAATTTCACCCTAAATTTCCAAAAAGTGTTACGGTATCTATCACATTGAATGTTTACGGTCTGTGCATGAAGCATTAAATGTAGACGAAAAAAAACTAATTGCATAATTTGGTAGAAAATTACGAGACGAACGTTTTGAGCCTAATTAGTCAACTTCCTAGAACTAAACACGCTCCAACTGAGAGCTAAAAGAAGCGGATTCTAACAAAAGCGGCTTCAAGTAATCTGTGTCACACGATGGAGGATCGGATGGTCAGGAAGATTCAGGGTGACGTGGACGACGCTTCTACTCGAGGAGCTAACGTATTCTTTAGAGGAGAAAATTCTCCGCATGTGTTGATTGGATAAAATCAAATGATTGAACTCTATACTTTATTGCATAGCACATCTTTTTTAATACCAGATAGCGTGTCCGTACATTGCTATGGGATAGCTAACAATTTATACTAAAAACACACGGATCGCACGATAAGATAACAATACTGTAAAAATTAAATATCAATGTTAAAGTTACAGTTAATCTAAAAACAAAGTTTATGAAATAAACATACTCCGTTCTAATCTCCATGACGGTTCATACACAAAAGAAATAAATGCAGAGGGAACGGAATATCCAAAGAAGCATGCATGTGAATGTTTTTTTTACCTACATGCTTATGAACAGGGCTTTGAGAATAGAGAAGTGGCATATATTAGTTTGTCCTAAATATCATATAATTACAAACAAATGGTGTATTTGGCTAGAAATATATAGTCGGTTTCTTTCACTAAAGGACCTAAAAATATGCACCTGACTATAACACCTTATGGTAATACATTATTTCTAGAAAATAATAGATCATTAGAATACAATAATGAAACGAAGACACATCGACGAAACAGACATTTCTAGGTCGACCAAAAATGGAGTTTTAAGCCTCTAGCCCATTTCAATCCTCTTAGCAGCAGGTTGACCAAAAATAGAGTTTTAAGCCTCTAGCACATTTCAGTCCTCTAGCAGCAGAAAACACATATCAGCAACAACCTATTTTCTATTACATCTTCATTGAATTATGCTGCACTACAACTTAAGGAAGCTCAACCGTAACTGCAAAATCAGATTGCATTTAAACCCTATATGTATATCGTAGTCCTAGACACCACGATGAGCTCCTAATTTGTAAGAATGCATCACAATCCTATTCCCATCTTGGTATTTGGTCACTGCTAGAACAACGCCCTTCAGATATAAGCTGCTCAAACTTTCTGGCGGGTACAGCTCCATAAGACATAAGAGCTGATGAACTGAATCACATGGATCAAACTTTTTAAAGCATTCACTACCGGAAACAGTGGCTTTGCCGTGTGCCACAGGCACTCGGCAAAGCCCAAAAAACACTCGGCAAAGGCTTTGTGTAACACCTCAGTTAGTCAGTTTAATGGATGCTACTTTTATTTTAGAGCTGAATTATGTATCAACCATAATCAAACGGGAGCCAGAAAGATAAATACTAAAACTTCTAATCTTATTATCAGATAGTTGAGTGCCCGTGTATTGCTATGGGTATACAATTTGTATGTGCATGCATGACAGAGGTGATGAATCAACGCAACCAACAATTTATTTCCCCATACAAAACAAGATGAGTTTAGAAAATTTTCGTGGTTGATAGGCGTGTTATGGGAGCTGCCAAAGTAAGATGACGACGAGTACCACAGTGTCTAAGCTCACAGGCTCACAGCAGGACTGCAAGAATTGTTGTCCAACAGACACGGGAGGTGTGGTTTGTTTTGTTTCAGTAGTCACTCGGCTATGTGCCAACCAATAGTGTACTCCCTGTATGAAATCATGTTTGGAATTAGGCCAGTTTGCAATGCATATGGACAATAGCACGGTCCCTTGAGCTCTAAAATTTTTTACATAGGATTTGGTTGCTACATCACATTTAGGTTAGTCCAAGCTGATCAAGTTTCATTCTCGTCTTCAACGATGATACCTAGGTAGGATAGCTTATGCAGCTCTTTTGCGTTGAGTTAACAGGACCATGAAAGCATTGGAATGTCACTCCACTAAAAAACGATGACATATCAAGGCAGCACCAGATATATATAAAAAAAGAGAAGTATGTGTTAGATACTTCTCTTTGTATATCGACTACAAAGAGAACTATTTCAATATCTGAAACTTTGGTCAGTATATCAACTACAAAGAGAAGTACGTCGAAATGCTT